CATTCTAACGGGTGTGAGGTGATTATCTCATTGTGGTTTTGATTTGCATTTCCCTGATGATTAGTGATATCGAGCATCTTTTCAGATACCTGTTGGTCATCTGTATGCCTTTTTTGGAAAAATGTCTCTTCAGATTCTCTGCCCATTTAAAAAACCAGGTTGTGCCTTTCTGCCCGTGGACACGGCCAAGTAAGCATCGTTAAAGTCTCCCCTCCCACCACTGTCATGTCTAAGTCAGAGTCTCCGAAAGACCCTGAACAGCTGTGGAAGCTCTTCCTTGAGGTTTGAGCTCTGAAACAACCAATGAGAATCCAAGGAGCCATTATGAGCAAGGGGAACACTTATGGACTGTGTGGTCATGACAGGTCCAAAGAGGCTTTGGGTTTGTCATGTATGCCACTGTGGAGGAGTGGATGCAGCCACAAATGCAAGGCCACACAAGGTGGTTGGAAAAGTTGTGGAACCAAAGAGGGCTGTCTCGAGAGAAGATTCTCAAAGGCCTGTGCCCACTTAACTGTGAAAAAGATTTTTGTCTGTGGTATTAAAGAAGACACAGAAGAACATCATCTAAGATTATTTTGAACAGTATGGGACAATTGAAATGATTGAAATCATGACTGACAGATGCAGTGGCAACAACAGAGGCTTTGCTTTTGTAACATTTGATGACCATGACTCTGCAGACAAATTGTCATTCAGAAATCCCACACTGTGAGTGGCCACAACTGTGAAGTAAGGAGAGCCTTGTCTAAGCAAGAGGTGGTGAATGCTTCATCCAGCCAAAGAGGTCGAAGTGGTTCTGGAAACTTTGGTGGTGGCCGTGGAGGTGGTTTTGGTGGGAATGACACTTTGGTCATGGAGGAAACTTTAGTGGCAAGGAGACTTTGGTGGCAGTCGAGGTGGTGGTGGATATGGTGGCAGTGGGGATGGCTAGGACAGATTTGGTAATGTTGGAAGCAACTCTGGAGGTGGTGGAATATCATTATTTTGGCAGTTACAACAGTCAGTCTTCAAATTTTGGACCCATGAGAGGAGGAAATTTTGGAGGCAGAAGCTCTGGCCCCTATGGTGGTGGAGGCCAATACTTGGCCAAACCGTGAAACCAAGGTGGCTACGGCGGTTCCAGCAGCAGCAGTAGCTATGGCAGTGGCGGGAGATTTTCACTGCTGCCAGGAAACAAAGCTCAGCCGGAGAGGAGAGCCAGACAAGTGACAGGGAAGCTACAGGCTGCAACAGATTTGTGAACTCAAGCAGGGTGGTGGCAGGGCCGAGCTGCTGCAAAGAAGACATGTTTTAGACGACGCTCGTGTGTATGGGCAAAAACCTCAAGGTCTGTATTTGTGACTAATTATATAACATGTTACTTTAGTTTCTGTTCTATGGAAGGTGTAAAGCATTCCAACAAAGGGTTTTAATGTAGATTTTTTTTTTGCACCCATGCTGCTGATTGCTAAATGTAATAGTCTGATCATGATGCTGATATATAAATATGTCTTTTAAAAAAATTTAAAAATTGATTGTTTTTCTACTGAGTTGTATGAATTCTTTATACTTTTTAATATTAGCCCCTTATCAGACATATGATTTGTAAACATTTTCTTCCAGTCGATAGGTTGCCTTTTCATTTTGTTGGTGGTTTCCTTTGCTGTACAGAAACTTTTTGGTTTTATGTAGTCCCGCTTGCTTATTTTTGCTTTTGTTGCCTTTGCTTTTGGTGTCAAACCCAATAAACTCTTGCCAAAAGCAATGTCTAGGAGCTTACTACCAAGTTTTCTTCTAGAAGTTTTATGGTTTCAGGTCTTATGTTTGAGTCTTGATCCATTTTGAGTTAATTTTTGTGTATGGTGTAAGATAGTGTTTTTATTCTTTTGCAAATGGCTGTCCAGTTTTCTCAACACCATGTATTAAAGAGACTATCCTTTCTTCATTATATATTTTTGGCTTCTTTGTTGTAAATTAATTGACCATATATGCATGGATTTATTTCTCGGCTTTATTCTTTTCTACTGATCTATGTGTCTGTTTTTATACCAATACCATACTATTTTGATTACTATTGCTTTGTAACATAATTTGAAGTCAGGAGATGTGATGCCTCCAGCTTTGTTCTTTTTTTTCTCAAGATTACTCTGGCTATTCAGAGTCTTCTGTGGTTCCATGCAAATTTTATAATTGTTTGTTCTATTTCTGTGAAAAATACCATTGGAATTTTGATAAGGACTGCACTGAATCTGTAGATTGCTTTGGGTGGTATGGACATTTTAACAATATTAATTCTTCCCCAAAAACCCAATGTTAATTCTTCCAGTTCATGAGCATGGAATATCTTTCCACTTATTTGCATCTTTTTCAATTTCTTTCACCAGTGTCTTATAGTTTTCAGTGTATAAGTGTTTCACCTCCTTGGTTAAATTTATTCCTAGATATTTTATTTTATTTTATTTATCTTAATAATTTGGGGGGCGGCGCCTGGGTGGCTCAGTTGTTGAGTGTCTGCCTTCGGCTCAGGTCATGATCTCAGGGTCCTGGGATCGAGCCCCGTGTTAGGCTCTCTGCTCAGCGGGTAGTCTGCTTCTCCCTCTCCCACTCCCCCTGCTTTGTGTTCCCTCTCTCACTATCTTTCTCTGTGTCAAATAAATAAATATCTTTTAAAAAATAAAATAAAATTTTTAAAAATTTTTCTTAATAATCTCTGCACCCAACGTGGGGCTTGAACTCATGACCCCAAGATTAAGAGTCATATGCTCTCCTGACTGAGCCAGCCAGATGCCCCTCTTCCTAGGTATTTTAATCATTATGGTTCAATTGTAAATGGAATTGTTTTCTTAATTTCTCTTCATAATAGTTCATTATTCATGTATAGAAATGCAACTGATTTTTGTGTATTGATTTTGTATCCTGCAACTTTACTGTATTTATTAGTTCTAACTTTTTTGATGGAATCTTTAGGTTTTTCCATATATAATATGTTATCTACAAATAGAAATAGTTTTACTTCTTCCTTTCTGATTTGAGTGCCTTATATATTTTTTTTCTTTCCTAACTCATCTGGTTAGGACTTCAGTACTATGTTGAATAAGATAAAAGGCAAATCTTATAAGGATAGAAAGTAGATAGAAAGTAGAAAGTTAAGGTGGTTGCCTGGGACTGGGAGTTGTGAATAGGAATCAACTGCAAATGGGCAAGAGGGATCTTTTTGGGGTGATAAAAGTGTTCTAATAATGGATTGTGGTAATTTGCAAATCTATGTAAATTTGTCAAAAATTATTATATTGTACACTTGAAATGAGCAAATATTATGGTATGTAAATTATTCCAGAGAGAGAAATAAGGAATTATTTAGCCAGCCAGGTAAAAACATCAAGTCACTTTTAAGGGAAAGAAAATTAGGTTCTCCTCAGAAACATATGACTTCTCACAGAAACATTGAACACCAGAAGACAATGGGACAATACCTACAAAACACAATGAAAGAAAGTGTAGCCAAAATTATTGAATTGAACCAGTCTTTTTCCCATCTCCCATGATCTTCTGCAATGTGACCTTGCCACTCTCCCATTAAGAAGTAGAGTCTAGGGCGCCTGGGTGGCTCAGTTGGTTAAGCGACTGCCTTCGGCTCAGGTCATGATCCTGGAGTCCCAGGATCGAGTCCCACATCGGGCTCCCTGCTTGGCGGGGAGTCTGCTTCTCCCTCTGACCCTCTTCCCTCTCGTGCTTTCTATCTCTCATTCTATCTCTCTGAAATAAATAAATAAAATTTTAAAAAATTAAAAAAAAAAAGTAGAGTCTAATTTTTCTCCCTTGGAATCTGGGTGGGCCTTAGGGACTCTCTTGTAACCAAGAGAATGCAGTGGAAGTGATGTTGGTGACTTCCAAGTCTAGGTTAAAAGAAGTCTTGCAGCTTCTGTGTATGTCCCTTGTAATACTCCCTCCCTAGAATCTCTCTCAGGATGCTCCCTTTAACCCAGGTACCAGGCCATGAGAAGCCAAACCACATGGAGAGCCACATGAGGATGCTCTGGTTGACTGCCCCAGCTGAGCCCAGGTTTCAAATCATCCCAGCCCAGGTACCAAACTGAGTAAAGAAGACTCCAGATGATTCCAGCCCCCAGCTGTTTCAGTGCCCCCCCCCCAGAAGTTATAGTCTTTTCCCCAGCTGAGACCCCAAACCTCATAGAACACAGATGATTCATCTGTGCTGCACCTCATGCAAATCCTGACCCACAGAATCTGTGAACATGTAACATGGTTTTGTTTCCCACCACTAGCTGGGGGTGTTTTGTTAAGCCACAAGAGATAACCAGAACAGCAGGAGTATGACAGAGGTGATATGGTGTTCTTTGCATTTCGAACAGTCATTTGGCTCATGATTTCAATCTGTCTCATAACTCATGATGTTCATTTTGATCACTTGTCTAGGTGGTATCTACTATAACATTACTCTTCCCTTTGTAATTAGTATTTTGTGCAGAGGTATTGTGAGACTAAATATTCCCATTCCTCATCAAACATTCAATTAATTGGTTTACTTAAATCAATATGGACTCATGGATTTCTCTTTTATTCAATAGGTTATCATTGTTTATTTTGATGCTCAGATTGGTCTAGGTTTGGCTAGCAGGAGCCCGTTTTAAGTTGCCTCCCATGCCCTTTTGACATGTGCCCATAACTCTTGAGCAGTTTCTTTTTTTTATTATTGTTATGTTAATCACCATGCATTACATCATTAGTTTGTGATGTAGTGTTCCATGATTCATTGTTTGTGCATAACACCCAGTGCTCCACGCAGAACGTGCCCTCTTTAATACCCATCACCAGGCTAACCCATCCCCCCACCCCCCTCCCCTCTAGAACCCTCAGTTTGTTTTTCAGAGTCTGTCGTCTCTCATGGTTCGTCTCCCCCTCTGATTTACCCCCCTTCATTCTTCCCCTCCTGCTATCTTCTTCTTCTTTTTTTTCTCTTAACATGTATCGCATTATTTGTTTCAGAGGTACAGATCTGTGATTCCACAGTTTTGCACAATTCACAGTGTCTCAAGCAGTTTCTAACTTCCTATACAAGATGTTCCAACTTTACGGTATGTGAAAACCAAGATCTGGCACTGGGTAGGCTCATTGCTGTTAAGTTGTACAAACACACATTTATTGATATCTTAATAAAATCTATATTTCCATATGTCTCTCTATTGACAACCATAAGTTTACACCAATACCTCTGATTTGAAATTAATGCCATAAGATTCATTTTTGCCTTCTCCCTTTCCATATTTATTTGTCCTTTCTCTGACGAGACACTTGGTTCCCATTACCTTTAACGTATTTACCTAATTGGTTAATCGCACTCTATGTAATCATTCTCTCATCGCCCCCATGGCCCCATCTTCCTCTTCCACTTGGGCTTCTGTTCCACAGGAGCGGCCACCCTCCTACACTAACATCTTCTTCACTCCACATGGGCTGTAAAATCCCATACTGCTCCCACCCCACGTGAACATCTTCCCCCAAACCTGTGTCCTTACCCTGCTGTGGAAGCCCACCCTGGCATCTAGTGGTCTTGGACTGAATTGTCACAAGGGGAAGAGAAAGAAAAAAAGAAAGGGGGGAACTTACCTAACTTTCTTAAAGTTTTGAAAATACATTTTTAAAAAGTTTTTAAGTATAATGCACAAGAGCAAACAAGCTTATCTTTAAGAAATCAAGTATCACACCCATAGTCAATTACAACTACATCTTAGAGCAACATTTGTCTTTGTTTACAAATACAGCAGTGGGCGATAAAACCTAACATCTCAAACAGATTGCTTACTGTTTATAATACAAAGGCATGGCTATGTCTCAATTCGTATTTTTGGCATTTTAACTTAAAATGCATAGAGAATCACATACATTAAATTTGTCATTTAAAAAGTTAATTAAATCACAATTTTAAGAAAAATCAAAGACTATAGAATTCAAGGTCACTTGTAAGAAACTGATTTTTTCAGAAGTCTTTGTCACTGAAACTATATAAGTATACAAAGTAATGAGATGTTTCTCTCCCTTTTTTTCCTGGAAGAAGGCACTGTCACTGCCTGTCACTGAAGAGCAGATACTGATTTGTTGCCAGTAAGTAAACTTGATGCAACAATATTACATATTGCATCTAAAGGCAGAATTGATAGCTTATCCCAATATAGGACAACCATGATTTACATTATGTATTGGCCTGGATTTTTTTTTAATGTAGTTTCCATAAATAGTAGGTTTTAATGCTGTATGACCTATTTGGCTAAAAACAATACAAATCAGGTAGAACTCAAAAAGAGTTTACTAACTCAAAAAAAGTTCACTAATCAAAGCTCAAGAATAAAAATAAACACTGGCTAATGAACTCAATACCTGACAACAGTTACTGGCAATTTCAGTTACTGATAAATACTCCAAAACATAACCTCAAAAGGACCACATTTATTTTTCTATACATAAAGCAATCATTTATTTAAATTATGGCAATGTGATTGTTTTCAAAAGTACGTTTAGGGAAATAGCGATTATAGAAAAATAGTTGAATTAATTTGCCAGTGAAGTTGCAAATTCTAACAATAATCCACATCATCTTAGATTTTAAGTATGTGGTTTCATAAAGTAAACAAATTCTCTCAAAGAGCAATTCAATATAATTAATTAAAATAATTGCTTTAAGTTTCCATGAAAACCAAATAAGTATCACATATGAATGATTTATATTTACATTTTTGGAATCTGGCCAGCGTTGAAGAGGTTGACCAGGTTTTTTATTGCTCACAGCAGAGGCTTGGGCAGTGGAATGTTCAGGTAGGGCATTTACCATCAAAAATTCATCAGATGGGATGCCTGGGTGGCTCAGTCGGTTAAGTGTCTGCCTTCAGCTCAGGCATGATCCCAGGGTCCTAGGATCGAAACCCGTGTCCAGCTCCCTGCTCAGCGGAGAGTCTGCTTCTCCCTCTCCCTCTCTTTGCATGTGCTCTCTCTCTCTCAAATAAATGAATAAAATCTTTAAAAAAAATTCATCAGGCATTTTCCTAACAAGAGTTTAATTCCTTGTCTCACTTGAGGGTGTGCCTGGTTTCCAAGGAGTTAGGTATGAAAAGGGGAGGAAAAAATGTAATTTTACAGTGATCAAGGTTAGCATCATCAAAAATAAGTCAGGTTGATATCCCGTACCCTTAATATGATGTGATGAGAATGACACTCTACTTCTGTGATCTTCCAGCAGTCCCAACCCCTAGTCTACAATGAGAAAAACACCAGACAAACCCCAACGGAGGATATTCCTCACAACACATGAGCGGTAGTTCTGGGATCAAGGTTATCAAAAACAAGGAGAGGCTGAGAAAATGTCACAGTCTGGAGGTACCTAAAGCAGCACAACAAGTAAGTGTAATGTGGTATCCTGGAACAGAAGAAGAAACATCAGAAGAAATCTAATAAAATCCAAACAGAGTGTGAAGTTTAGTTAATAGCACTGTATCAATGTTGGTTCCTTGGTTTTGATGAAAATACTATGGTAATATAAGATGGTAACAGCAAGGAAAACTGCATGAGGGTTATACAAGAATGCTTTCTGCTATCTTTGCAACTTTTCTGCAAACCTAAAACTTCTAAAATTAAACAGTTATGGGGAAAAATTAAATGATCAAATATTAGGAAAAAGGTGAGGGTGAATTTCTCTATTGGGGAGTGGGACACATTTACTAACTGCCTAGTGTCTAACTTAGACACACTAATGAAAAGGCTGATAAATCTGACAAGGTTTTAGAAAACTTTTGTGTATTAGTTTGCTAGAGCTGCCATAACAGAGTTCAACTTGGTGGCTTAAACAACAGAAACTTCTCACAATTATGCATGCTAGAGGTATGAGATCAGCTGTCAGCAAGGTTGGCTTCTTCTGAGGTCTTCCTAGTTTCTGGATTACCATCTTCTGTCTTCACATGGTCTTCCCCAGTGTCTGTGTTCTAATCTCCTTATAAGGACATCAGTCATAATGAATTAGAGCCCATCAATATGACCTCATTTTACCTTAATAACCTCTTTAAAGGACCTATCTCCAGATACAGTCTGGATACACATTCTGAGTTACTTGGGGTTAGGACCTAATATTGGAATTTGGGAGGAAAACAATTCAGCCGATAACAAATTGCATGACAAAAGCCGTGGTAAGTAAAAACAAAGATGGCAAACTGAGAAAAATGCTTGCAACTGATATCACAAAGGGTTAATGTCCTTAATATATAAAGAATTTAAGTAGAAAAGATAAAGACCAAAAATCATATAAAAAATGAACAAGAGAAATTAAATAGATTCTTCACAGAAAAAATACAAAGACATTTGAAAATATCTCTACCTGGCTCATGATAAAATCTCATTTTCCACCTACCAGATTGGCAAAAATCCATGAGTTTGACAATTAGATTATATTAGTAGGCACTTTCATACATTGCCACTAAGAATGCAAAAATGGCACAAGCCTCATGGTGGAGAATTTAGCAATATCAACAAAATTACATATGCAAGTGCCCTTTGACCCAGAAATCTAACTTCTAGGAAATTTTAGTTGTGATGGTAACGTTGTGGCTATGTTTTTAAAAAAAGAAGTCCTTCACTATATCCTACTTAAAGGGTCTATCCAACAAGAAGATCTAACAATTGTAAATATCTATGCCCCGAACATGGGAGCAGCCAATTATATAAGGCAATTAATAACAAAAGCAAAGAAACACATT